GTAGTAGTAGTAGTAGTAGTAGTAGTAGTAGTAGTAGTAGTAGTAGTAGTAGTTCTATTGTTGTTGTTATATTATCATCATCATCATCATCATCATCATCATTATCATTATCATTATTTTTATCAGGTGTGGGTCTGTTCATTCAGACTCTGACCCACATGGGCCACATCCAGGACACCCTGGTGATCTACACCTCCACCGGCGGGGTGGCCTTCCCTGGCGCTCAGTACAACGCTTACGAGGGAGGGGTCGCCATTCCGCTCATCGTCTCAAACCCCGGCTACAGCCAGGGCAAGGTTGGTAGGGAACTAGTGGAATCTTTCTTTCTCTCTTTCCTTCTTGTTTTCTGCTTTTTTATATTTCTTTCTGTCTTTTCTATATTTTCTTTTCTCTCTTTGTGTCTTTCTTTCTTTCTTTCTTTCTTTTTTCTTTCTTTCCTTCTTTTCTTTTTTTTTCCCTTTTTGTGTCTTTCTTTCCTTCTTTCTTTGGTTTTTCTTTCTTTCTTTCTTTTCTCTTTTTTGTGTCTTTTTTTCTTTCTTCCTTTCTTTCTTTTTTCTTTCTTTCTTTCTCTTTTTTTCTAGGTTGTGTCCATCTACTGCAGGATATAGCCCTCCAACAGCGACATCCACTATGTTCTATATTCTGTTATGTCTGTCCAGGTTGTACCCTCCGCTCTATGATGTCATCTTGCCTCTTCCTTTCTGGTCTTCGTCTTGATAGTTTTCCTAAAATACTTAGTGCTTGCTTGATACGACAATCTTAGCCAAAACAGTGTTGGATGTGAATTAGTTTGAGTGGGCAAAATGTACCTTACAGCACAGCACAGAACAGCATAGCACGTCACGTCAAAACACAGCACAACACAGCACAGCACAGTAATGCACACACACACACACACACACACACACACACACACACACACATGGATCTGTATACATTTGTATGCATTAATTATATTAATACATGTACATCCCCAGAACACGGCCGCTCTTGTCTCTGCACTGGACCTAACGCCAACTATCCTGGACTACTTCGGCGTCACGTTCCCGACCTACCAGATCTTCGGCCGGACCGTCACACCCACGGGCAAGTCTCTCATTCCCGTTCTGACGGACCCCACCAAAACCGTGCACGATTTCGTCTTCTCCACGCAGGATTTGAGAGAGGTGGG